GATCAAATGAGAATGGGGTATAAAGAAAAGAATTGAGAATGTCTGTACACTTTTTGATCAAATAAATAAACGATTGAGATGAAGTCAACACTAAATCAACAATATTTGACTCGCGGTGGCATACGAGTAAATAGATCGAAATCAGACGGGGAAATATACAGGTTGGAGGGCATTGTCGTCTTTAACATATTAGCAGAGGGGGTGATGGTTGGAGTTCGGGTCCATTAATTACAACCCACACCTTTAGGTCAGAGATATTGAATGAAGAAGGAGCTTGTTGGGCATCTATGGCAGTTTTCTGGATCTTGAGAGGATTTCGAGCTCAAATCATCGCCGGAATATAGTGTAACTGACGCGCATTCACGTGAGTGTTCATTATACCCCATTTCGACAGTTTTAGGAGTAACTGTTCTTCCGTTTCAAACTATGGGAAATTCGCCTCAATCGAGAAAACGATGTAATGTTGTATTCAAATTCATATCTATTATTCAGATTTTTTTAGATTTTTTCATTGCTCGTATCTGGTAATTATGCGTATTTATTATTGTAATTAGTATGTGTTTTATGTTTGTTGATTTCGTTCGTATCAGGTGTTTTCCCCTTAATTGTAGTTATAGATCTTACTACTTTCGCACGATTTGTCTTGTTTTGTTGTTGTTTTATTTTTTATTTTTTATTTTTTTTGTTTTTCTCAAGCACATTATGTTCTAGTATCTTTCTAGATCTACAATACTTTTCTCAGGATTATTCAACTTTTGGGAAAAAAAACAAATATTAGGACCGTATTTAAGTAGATTTAATCATCTAAAACATGTTATTCTGTCTATGAAAAATATAAGTACTACACATATGTCTATGATGTGTATTCTTGACGTTAATCTTGTATAGGCACTGCTCGTAAGAAGATGGACAAGGTACCTGATCCTAATGGTGATGGAGGTATGTTATATGAATATTTTTGTTAGGTTTGTAGTGAACATATGTGTCTGTATTTACAATTGTGTGATTGCCTGTTGATACAGGTATAACAGATCAACCTCCCGGTGTCCAGAAAGGTTTGTGATATAAATATATATATACATTCATACAGGAGTACGAGTATGCATATTAATTTGAGTTTATACTGACTTATTCGTAATGCTTAACATCCTCAGTTAGTGTCCCAACGTCGCACACAACTGCCATTAGTACAACAAAGGGACATGTCCACGAATCCTGCTAACATTCAAGAAGGTATGTGTTTGTGATATATCCATGTGTATATTGCGAATGTAAACTAGTCAATTAACGGTCTTCTTTGTTATATGTGTGTTTGTTGTCTCCTCGTTTGTTGTACAGATTCAATGTTGGATAGAACGCTCGATGTACCAGAACATGATGGTGATCGTAAGAAACGTTCTGAAGTTGGTGCACACAAAACAAGCCAGCCCGATAGCGACGATTTTGTCGATGACGTACCTCTATCTCGTTTGGCAGAAATCAAAAAAACCCGTCATGGTACCCGACGCCGTGCATTCTTACCCTTAGTACAACAAGGTGACACTTCTACGAAGCCCGATAAAACAGAAGAAGGTAAAATTTGACGAAATACCATATGTATATTGTATATTCAATAAATTTGAATCTTTATTTTGTTAACCATATACAACGTCGAAGAGAAATCACGATGCAGCAGAACGCGTCGGCGGGCTTCCGAAGCGTTCCAAAGTTGGTGCAAGCACGAGCCAGTATGATAGCGATGATTTTGTCGATGATGTACCTATACGCTATCAGGCAGAAATCACAAAATCTCGGAATGGTATATGCTATTATTTTTTATTGTTTCTGGAGTTATATACATCAATTCATATATATAGTGTACTTGGTGTTTGACGATCTTTTATCCTCTGTTAATTTGTAGATAAGGGCAAGCGCAAAATTGATGATACCGACATTATAGTCAAACATTCTGTTGATGAGGCTTCTATCGTTGATGTGGAAAGTGATGACGACAAAGTGTTTCCGAGTGTGTCTACGAGGACTTCAGCCGGTACGTTTGTCAAGGCGATTTCTGGTCTATCAAATGTCAAGAAGAATGCAGTCCGTGAAATGGGCTTTGGACGTTTGTTGGAGTTGTCCATAACTACAACGCCATTGAAGATGGGTTTTTGGTTGGTAAACAACTTCAACCACCTAGACCGGAAGCTCCAATTGTACGATGGGGAGAAAGTGCACGTCAAGAAAGAAGATGTATATGTTGTGTTTGGGTTGCCTCGTGGAGAGCTCGAGGTTAATAATAAGAAGAAGCGAGTTACATCAAATATGTTGGATGAGTGGATCGCTCTCTTTGATGTTAGAAGGCCGTCGAACATTACGATGTCGAAGGTCTTGGATAAGATCAACGAATGCGATGATGGCAGTGTTTGGTTCAAGCGCCATTTCATAGTCCTTATGGTATCGTGTTTGTTTCTGAGCTGTCTGCATGGAATGGCGAACTCCCGTGTAGTGCATGCGCTTGACGATTTATCGGACATTCGCGATATGAACTGGTGTTCATACATGATTAAATGCTTGGTCGACACAAAGAGGTCGTAGGATGCCAACAGTAAACGAAAGAAGACTTATGCAGGGCCGTTACTGTTCTTGACGGTTAGTCTTATTTCATTGATTTTCCATTATTTATTCATCTCATTCACGTCCTGTATTGTTGTTGTTGTTGTTATTATTATTATTATTATTATTATTATTATTATTATTATTATTATTATTATTATTATTATTATTTTTACTATTATTATCTATCTTTCTTTTTTTTTTCATGTTCGTGTATTATAACGACAACCTAGTATTCGTACGTCTGTTGTTGTTTTATTTATTGAGTTAATTATTTTTTTTTTTCTTTTTTGGACTCAGTTATTCTACGTGGACAAGGTAGCGTTGTCCGTGAGATCGGTCCCGAGGAGGTTCCCGACGTTCAGCTCCTGGAGTAACGAGGCCTTAAGAAACAGAGAACGTGACGAGATCGCTTCGGGGGCCTTCGGGAGAGGTTTCGTGGATGCAGACGCTCTCGATACCCACCAGCATGATAAAATGTGTACGAACTCTGACGACGTCATTGCTGGGGTCCTGGAGAATTGTAGTGTACAGGTAGATACCGATTTGCCTTTTTTATTTCTCTCTTTATATATATTTATATATTTTATTTTATTAACTGATGAAATGTGCATTTGTTTGGCGTAAAATGTGCAATGTGCAGATCATAAATGTGCATATGTGAATGATGATTGCATACACGAATTGTGTTCGCCTATGTGAGTCTGTATTTATGTAATGAGGCTGATACCGCATACATATTGTGTAATACACAACGTATACTTGTGCAATTTGTTATAAATAAATGTGCTTGAAAATGTGGTGTTTGCAGAACGCCTTTCTATATCGTTACTTCTCAAACTTATGGCGGTCAACGTTATGCGTTGTGATTTTCATCATATGACTTTACCTGTGTTGTTTTTATACCCCCATTTTTTTTGTTATTTATTTGTTTTTATGCGTCCTGATTCCCTCACCCGTCTTAAGTTTATCATTACATAATGTGCATTGTCCGTTGTGAAATTGTGCATTGTGATATGCAGTAGAGTGCATTATTAATTAATTGTAGCATTACATCTTTTCATCAGGCTTATGTTCATGAGTTTACGTCTAAAACACGGCTTCTTGCAACTACCGGGGTTGAAATACTACAATTGGTTGAAAAGGCCCCGCAAGTTCTACTTGAAGATGAGAACTTTGTGAAAATGAACGAGGCGGCGCAAAAGCTTCTTGGAGTGTACAATGAATTGCCACACAGTGACCCAAACCATCCCGTTAATAGTCAGGAATGTGGCCCAATCGGAAAAAAGGATGACGTAACATATAATACCATTAGGGGTGGCGTTTCACATCAGACCAACGATGCATTCTGGAACGCTCCTGATACATTAGCTGCACTTGATGAGGTTATGAATGCAATTGAACAGCGGGACCGCTTCAAGAGGATGCACAATGAGGGGCCCAGTTACAGCTTGGGGTTGGGTACTCCAGATTATGTTGTTCCCGCCGACGACGTTGATGATGGCGCACGTCAGCGTACGAGTGTGGATAGAGATAAAAACATAGCTGGGATGTCACTTACTATGGATGCGCAAAGAGGTACCTGCTTTAATAAATGCATACGTACCACTGTGGTAGGTGTAGAGTTTGTAGTGCGTTTCTGTAAACATCTTGGCGATGCTGTTTTAATATATTTATTTTTTCATTTACGAAGTTGGCATTGGTTTTTGTCTGACAAGACGATGATAGTGAAAGTACCTGGGCTAGAAACCGGCAAATGTGAAACTACAGGTACACGTGTAATTGACGTCATTGTTAACGCACCAAATGTGCTTATTTTTTTTCCTCTTTTGTATCCATGATTTGTTTGTTCATACATATATATTTATATACGTTTTCCAATTTTCATTTTGTTTTTTTTTAAGACAATGCTGATGTTTTGGATCGTGTCGAGGCTGCAGACGGGACACCGAGGCCGAAAAGGCATACTACAATAGATTACTTTGGCATAATTTTTATTTTTCAATTTTCGGCCCAAAATAGATTACTTGGGCCTAAAAATGAAGAAAAACAACAATAATGAAATAAAAAATAGAGGAATATACACCCTATACTATCAAATCTATTTTATATTACATATTTACATTTAATTAATATTTATTTGTAAAGATAAAAAATCTGTCAATATATTTGCGCATATACCTTCATCCTTATCCAAAATCAACCATATTCCAAACCTTACACGTCGTCCTTTCTTCTTCCACCATATTCCCTTTCCTTTCTTCTTCGTCATTAACAACCATATTCCCCTTCCACTTTTCCCAATGTATTCATATTATTCAATCTAATAATTTCTCAAGAAAAATTGAAACGAAATGGCAAATAAATTGTACCGTCAGTCCTCGTCGTCCTTCACAAGGGTTTCCAACCGCGGCTCATTTGCACGATGACTCAACTATTCCAGAATCAGCGGTTAACGACAAAGGAATCGTAAATATCCAATGCAAAAGGAAAGATCCATGACCAAATTGAGGATGAAAGGAAACGACGCCCAAGTATGAAGAAGACGATGGCTACGAGACGTTCAACAAACAGACGGGTGAAGATCAAAATTGGAATGAAATTCATGAGAATTATGAACAACTCGACACCTGGATCTGAAATTATTTTCAATATATGTTTTGTATATATTTGGTATATGTTCGGTATATATATATATATAGAAATTGGATCAAATGAGAATGGGGTATAACAAAAGAATTGAGAATGTCTGTACACTGTTTGATCAAATAAATAAACGATTGAGATAAAGTCAACACTAAATCAACAATATTTGACTCGCGGTGGCATATGTGTAAATAAATGAAAATCAGACGGGGAAATATACAGGTTGGAGGGCATTGTCGTCTTTAACACATTAGCAGAGGGGATGATGGTTGGAGTTCGGGTCCATTAATTACAACCCACACCTTTAGGTCAGAGATATTGAATGAAGAAGGAGCTTGTTGGGCATCTATGGCGGTTTTCTGGATCTTGAGAGGATTTCGAGTTCAAATCATCGTCGGAATATAGCGTAACTGACGCGCATTCACGTGAGTGTTCATTATACCCCATTTCGACAGTTTTAGGAGTAACTGTTCTTCCGTTTCAAACTATGGGAAATTCGCCTCAAACGAGAAAACGAGGTAATGTTGTATTCAAATTCATATCTTTTAATCAGATTTTTTTAGATTTTTTCATTGCTCGTCACATTGTAGACACAGAAAAAAAAAAATGTATGGGTTGCTCTGATCTGGTAATTATGCATATTTTTTATTGTAATTAGTATGTGTTTTATGTTTATTGATTTCGTTCGTATCAGGTGCTTTCCCCTTAATTGTAGTTATAGATCTTACTACTTTCGCACGATTTGTCTTGTTTTGTTGTTGTTTTATTTTTTATTTTTATTTTTTTTTTGTTTTTCTCAAGCACATTATGTTCTAGTATCTTTCTAGATCTACAATCCTTTTCTCTGGATTATTCAACTTTTGGGAAAAAAAAACAAATATTAGGACCGTATTTAAGTAGATTTAATCATCTAAAACATGTTATTCTGTCTATGAAAAATATAAGTACTACACATATGTCTATGATGTGTATTCTTGACATTAATCTTGTGTAGGTACTGCACGTAAGAAGATGGACAAGGTACCTGATCCTAATGGTGATGGAGGTATGTTATATGAATATTTTGTTAGGTTTGTAGTGAACATATGTGCCTGTATTTACAATTGTGTGATTGCATGTTGATACAGGTATAACAGATCAACCTCCCGGTGTCCAGAAAGGTTTGTGATATAAATATATATATATATATACATTCATACAAGAGTACGAGTATGCATATTAATTCGAGTTTATACTGAATTATTCGTAATGCTTGACATCCTCTGTTAGTGTCCCGACGTCGCACACAACTGCCATTAGTACAACAAAGGGACATGTTCACGAATCCTGCTAACATTCAAGAAGGTATGTGTTTGTGATATATTCATGTGTATATTGCGAATGTAAACTAGTCAATTAACGGTCTTCTTTGTTATATGTGTGTTTGTTGTCTCCTCGTTTGTTGTACAGATCCAATGTTGGATAGAACGCTCGATGTACCAGAACATGATGGTGATCGTAAGAAACGTTCTGAAGTTGGTGCACACAAAACTAGCCTGCCCGATAGCGACGATTTTGTCGATGACGTACCTCTATCCCGTTTGGCAGAAATAAAAAAAACCTGTCATGGTACCCGACGTCATGCATGCTTACCCTTAGTACAACAAGGTGACACTTCTAAGAAGCCCGATAAAACAGAAGAAGGTAAAATTTTACGAAATACCATATGTATATTGTATATTCAATAAATCTGAATCTTTATTTTTTTGTACATATACAACGTCGAAGAGAAATCACGATGCACCAGAACGTGCCGACGGGCTTCCGAAGCGTTCCAAAGTTGGTGCACGCACGAGCCAGTATGATAGCGATGATTTTGTCGATGATGTACATATACGCTATCAGGCAGAAATCACAAAATCTCGGAATGGTATATGCTATTATTTTTTATTGTTTCTGGAGTTATATACATCAATTCATATATATAGTGTACTTGGTGTTTGACGATCTTTTATCCTCTGTTAATTTGTAGATAAGGGCAAGCGCAAAATTGATGATACCGACATTATAGTCAAACATTCTATTAATGAGGCTTCTGACGTTGATGTGGAAAGTGATGACGACGAAGTGTTTCCGAGTGTGTCTACGAGGACTTCAGCCGGTACGTTTGTCAAGGCGATTTCCGATCTGTCAAATGTCAAGAAGAATGTAGTCCGTGAAATGGGCTTTGGACGTTTGTTGGAGTTGTCCATAACTACAACGCCGTTGAAGATGGGTTTTTGGTTGGTAAACAACTTCAACCACCTGGACCGGAAGCTCCAATTGTACGATGGGGAGAAAGTGCACGTCAAGAAAGAAGATGTATATGTTGTGTTTGGGTTGCCTCGTGGAGAGCTCGAGGTTAATAATAAGAAGAAGCGAGTTACATCAAATATGTTGGATGAGTGGATCGCTCTCTTCGATGTTAGAAGGTCGTCAAACATTACTGTGTCGAAGGTCTTGGATAAGATCAACGAATGCAATGATGGCGGTGTTTGGTTCAAGCGCCATTTCATAGTCCTTATGGTATCGTGTTTGTTTGAGAGCTGTCTGAATGGAATGGCGAACTCCCGTGTAGTGCATGCGCTTGACGATTTATCGGACGTTAGCGATATGAATTGGTGTTCATACATGATTAAATGCTTGGTCGACACAAAGAGGTCGTAGGATGCCAACAGTAAACAAAAGAAGACTTATGCAGGGCCGTTACTGTTCTTGACGGTCAGTCTTATTTCATTGATTTCCCATTATTTATTCATCTCATTCACGTCCTCGATTGTTATTATTATTATTACTATTATTATTATTAATTATTATTATTATTATAATAATAATAATAATTATTATTATTATTATTATTATTATCTATCTTTCTTTTTTTTTTCATGTTCGTGTATTATAACGACAACCTAGTATTCGTACGTCTGTTGTTGTTTTATTTATTGAGTCAATTATTTTTTTTTTCTTTTTTGAATTCAGTTATTCTACGTGGACAAGGTAGTGTTGTCCGTGAGATCGGTCCCGAGGAGGTTCCCGACGTTCAGCTCCTGGAGTAACGAGGCCTTAAGAAACAGAGAATGTGACGAGATCGCTTCGATGCCTTCGGGAGAGGTTTCGTGGATGCAGACGCTCTCGATACCCACCAGCATGATAAAATGTGTACGAACTCTGACGACGTCATAGCTGGGGTCCCGGAGAATTGTAGTGTACAGGTAGATACCGATTTTCCTTTTTTATTTCTCTCTTTATATATATTTATATATTTTATTTTATTAACTGATGAAATGTGCACTTGTTTGGAGTAAAATGTGCAATGTGCAGATCATAAATGTGCATATGTGAATGATGATTGCATACACGAATTGTGTTCGCCTATGTGAGTTTGTGTTTATGTAATGAGGCTGATACCGCATACATATTGTGTAATACAAAACGTATACTTGTGCAATTTGTTATAAATAAATGTGCTTGAAAATTTTGTGTTTGCAAAACGCCTTTCTATATCGTTACTTCTCAAACTTTTGGCGGTCAACGTTATGCGTTGTGATTTTCATCATATGACTTTACCAGTGTTGTTTTTATACCCCCATTTTTTTTTATTTACTTGTTTTTATGTGTCCTGATTCCCTCAACCGTCTTAAGTTTATCATTACATAATGTGCATTGTCCATTGTGAAATTGTGCACTGTGATATGCAGTAGAGTGCATTATTAATTAACTGTAGCATTACATCTTTTCATCAGGCTTATGTTTATGAATTTACGTCTAAAACACGGCTTCTTGCAACTATCGGGGTTGAAATACTACAATTGGTTGAAAAGGCCCCGCAAGTTCTACTTGAAGATGAGAACTTTGTGAAAATGAACGAGGCGGCGCAAGAGCTTCTTGGAGTATACAATGAATTGCCACATAGTGACCCGAACCATCCCGTTAATAGTCAGGAATGTGGCCCAATCGGAAAAAAAGGATGACGTAACATATAATACCATTAGGGGTGGCGTTTCACAGCAGACCGACGATGCATTCTGGAACGCTCCTGATACATTAGCTGCACTTGATGAGGTTATGAATGCAATTGAACAGCGGGACTGCTTCAAGAGGATGCACAATGAGGGGCCCAGTTACAGCTTGGGGTTGGGTTTGACTCCAGATTATGTTGTTGCCGCCGACGATGTTGATGATGGCGCGCGTCAGCGTACGAGTGTGGATAGAGATAAAAACATAGCTGGGACGTCACTTACTGTGGATTCGCAAAGAGGTACCTACTTTAATAAATGCATACGTACCACTGTGGTAGGTGTAGAGTTTGTAGTGCGTTTCTGTAAACATCTTGGCGATGCTGTTTTAATACATTTATTTTTTCATTTACGAAGTT